AATTATTATGCTTCCTTCTGTGAAGTGTTGCTCAATCAACAGTCAGAGTAGAAGTGGTAAAGTAGCCACTGTAAAGTGGTTGCTTGCCAGCTTGTGATCGTATTTCTCAGCTGCTTGATCTTGTTCTTCAAATATATATTTATTTAGTCATTGCTGTTTACTGTGTTGAAAGGCTACTGTTAGTAATGTTTGGCAAACTTTCTGCCTGCACTGGTCCAAACCCATCTTGATTGTTTAACTGCCTTACTTTCAACAAGAAAATTGTGTTACCTAAATGACACTTGTGACACACAGTGCCACTCACACAAGATGCTTGTATCTCTGGCTACTAGTGGGATTTGGACTTTAAGCACCCAGTCTTATGAAATACTCATCCACTGAGCCTTTGGAGGAAGCCAAGGCACCCAGTGTCTCATGAAACTCACATGTGGAAGAAGTTTTTGCACAGGTTACCTGTAGTCAGCCTGCTCTTCTGTTCCAACTTGCACAAACATAACTCATAATCCTGATTCTTTCTTGAGATACCACCAGTGATTCCAACTTCTGAGATGATTGTGATGCTGGCAGGTATGCAGAAGTAGAGACCGAGGCTTAAATTTCTGTTTAAAGCTTTCTCAGAAAAACCTGCCCCCCTTCCAAAAAAGGAAAAAAAAAAAGGAAAAAAAACAACCCACAACATTTCATGCAAGTCAACTGAAGTGACTCTACAAAGTATCTTGGCAGGAAAACAAAGGAGAGAAACAGCTTAATGTAGCATTGCTGCATTCAAGAAATCTGAGCGTTCTCCTGCCTTAACTGGTTGGGTTGTTTGCAGTTGCATGTAATTAGTTACTCAGGTTGTAGGAACTCATTTTGTCAGACACAGATGACTTTCTTACTTGCTACAAAGAGAATGCAAAATGAGAAAATGAAGAATTTAATAGACCTTTGTCATTGAGCTATCTGACACTGTATTATTTGGTATGTTCTTATTCAGAGGTAGACAACTGGCACTAAATCCAGGAAAGAAATAAAAGACAGAATGGATCAGAATGGAACAATCTGTGCAGAAGATTATTTTACATTCTAGATATGGCTGTGTACTTTACTTTTGGAGGAGTAGGAGAGCGGGCTGTTTCTTGGAACAGTTCTGGGGAAATACGGGTCTAAAAGTTAAAGTTTTAATTTTTTTCAATATGGCTGCTGCTCTGGAAAGACGAGCTTCCCTGACAACTATTATTCTCTTCCTTTTCCTTTTGTTTCCTTTACTCCGTATGTTTTGGTTGTTGGGTGGTATTTTTTTCCTGTGAGGTGTTAAACAGCACATTATCTATTCCTACCCTCATATTAATTTAGTTAACTAATATTTCTTTTTCAAAAGTTGCAGAATTAGAGGGATTTGGTGAAGTTTCTTGGTTTTGGGAGGTTTTTTCTGGCTAATTTTTTTTTAATCTGGCAACTGTAAATTGACAGAAAAATTTTTGCTGCAAGTGCTTTTATGGACTATGACAATCTTGTGGGCTAACTATGAATTTGGCACTTTGGCAGACTCCCAGCTTACCTTTTAACCTCCCATATGTACTTTGACAGGAGTCATACTGCTTTGTTTTAGCCTCTTCCAAATTTCTTTTGAAACTCTGGTGCACTTTGTGATAGCACAAATCTACTGGTATTACATTTCATTATTGCGTGAGTGAGTAAGCTGATGTCCTCAGTGCCTTCAACAGAGTTTTGAAGAGGCTTATAGGCTTCACTGCACTGTTTTGGCTTGATAAAGGGGTCCCAGATGTTATTCTTCTGTCAAGTAAGATTATAGTTTGGTAAATGGTAAAAAAGTTAAATTGACCTGTGCTTTTACAGTTAGGCTTAAAATTTCATTGTCACTCTTTGCAGGTAGTCAGAATTTAATAATTAGACACTTCCTAGTTTTCTCTTGGCTCAGTTTGTTTATTCTGTATTTCCACTGTGAAGTTAAATTTTTATTTCTAATTTATGTGTCTTGTACAAATCCTTAAGGAAATAAAGAGAATGGTGAGTATCTTGTCTTTATCCAGTATGTGGTGCCTTAGTGTTTTATTGCTGTTCAGGTTTTTCTTAGCTTAGGAGTTTCCTGGATTATTGACTACATCTCTATTCAAGTTCATGGCTACCATATGGATGGCATTAAATTAAAGTTAAATTATATTAGGTTCTAACAATTTCAGTGTGTCACCTTCCTGCACGGGGAAGTCCTGCAGAGTTAAGACATAATTTTAGAGTCTTCTCATAAACGCTTAATATTTTAAACATTTAATAAAGTGGATCCATTTTTCTAAGCAGCTTCTCGAATTTCTTCACTTCCTATCATAATTATATGTATTATGACCTTCTTTCTAACAGTCTGTTGTGATAGTGGCTGTAAGTGGTTCCAAGATTACATCAAATAAAATTATAGTTTGATTTCTTTATCTGAACATCTTGACTTCTTGAAATATAGTTTCTATTCTTCCTTAGTTAAAGAACATCCAAGATAACACTGCATTTGGAAGGTTACAAGCTACAGCTACAATCTTTTTTCCTTCTTCAATCTGCAAGAGCCTTACTCTGATGATCACATTCTATAGGTGTTGCTATAGTCCTGTTTGAATGCAGATCTTTTTTATTGTAGCAATTTTAAGTCACTAAAGGAGCAGTTTTGGAAAGGCACATGATGTTTGAAACAGGGAGCTTAGTTTTGTTTCTTTGACTTCCTGTGGGAGGGACACAAAGCTGTTGATATCTCTTTGCCCTAGCATTATGTTGGACAATTCTTGCAAATCACTTTCCAGAGGTAGGAAGAGGTGGTTACTTGAGGATTTAAATGGCTATATGTAGGGGGTTTATGTTGCAGCCAGCTGGATCTTGGATTGTTTAGGAACTGTTGAAATGAATGACCTTAAGGAATAATAAAATATGCAGACTGCTCCAAGGGGCCATACATGGGTGACCACTGAGGACCTGCAAGAGCATCGTAGCTGATCCAGAGATAGTGAAGTGTGATGTAGGGGATATTGATTGCTATAAACATTTCTACAGAGTGTACTTCAGCCACACAACCCACATCTGACAAAGCTAGTTTATGTAGTGGTTTTACTGTTACTGAGGTAAATATGACTTTGTTGTGCCATGTCAGATTTGTTTAACACACACAAACCACTTTGTAATGTGTACATAACACAACCTATCTCTGCATGCACAGTAAGTTCTCCAGTGCTTCCCAGTATCTGCTTTGTAGATGTATCATTGCAGATGTGCAATGATTATGCAGACCTTGAGTAGCAAGTCCACTGTGTCCCAGAAATAGCTTATTTTTATGTTGGCCTGTGTACCTGCTTGAGGAATATATGGGCCAACATGTTAAAAAATGTTTAAGTGTCAAAATAAAAAAGAAAAACAAACTAAAATCCACCTACTGAAATTGGTGTGAGAGACAGAAAGGAGCATTTCTGTGGAAATCCCAGAATACTGTAGCCTTGGATATGTCTACAAAGTCTCTTAACATACTGCAGCCTTGGAAGGGCTGTTTAATCAATGCTTCCACCATGTTTGGTGCCTGTGTTTTTGAAGGCTGGGATCTGAAAAGGAGACATTTCTCTGGAAGAAATTCTCTGAGTTGTGTGAAGACTTCTCATCCATCACTTAGGTCAAATTTGGTGGCATAAAGGAGTTTTGCAAAAAACCTCTGCATCTTTTCATAGGTTTTTGGGGTGAAATTAATTTACAGAGGCTGACATGGGACTTTATTCTTCTTTTCTGATTTAGAACTTGCCTACACATACACAATTTCTTTTTTTTTCACCAATTCAACCTAAGGAAATTTGTGTAATTTCAAGAAAAAGAATTCTGATCAGAATGTGTTGGCAAAGTCACGCAAATACGTGTTCTGCTTTTGATTCTCACCTATTTTACATCTGAATATACTATGTATTTTTAATATAGATCAGAGATACCTAAAAGTCTATACAGAAATATAAAAGGCAAATGTTGTTTTGATACACATGCAATATACATGGGAATTTTTTTTTGCCTTTGTTTTATGTTTATATTATTATATCTACATGATGAAGAGGTTTTACTTGGCGGGGGGGGGGGGGGGGGGGGCACGTTCATGCAAGTGAGAGTTCTTTTATGCACTGACTTTCCAGATCCTTTTGTTATTTAGTCTAAGGCTAGTGACAGGTAAGTCAAATGGTACCTAGCACCTATTGTGTTGGAACATGTATTAACCATCAATAGTATATTTAGAAAATATGCAGAGGGCAAGACAGGAAAGATGGATATCCTTTTCTCAACCTTTTTTTGACCTGATCCAATTTTATAAGCAGACAATTGTGTGTTTTTGACACAAAGACATTTGTATGATCAGAAACAGCTGCTAAGATATGTTGTTTAACAATGAATGTGAAATATTCCTGTGCTATTATTTTTGAGCAGGTTTAAGATGCAGAAAACAGTGCTCCCAAGGATGGGAATGTTGTTTTTCTTCCTTCTCATTGCAATCTGAACTTTGAATTGCTAATATACATTAAGAATCAAATTCAGAGTAATCCAAGTTTGAAAATACCTATTCACTGAACCCATATGCTAGATTATGGATAAATTGGTACTCCTTGCTTAGTGCTAATGGAAAAAATAGAGACTAGCTTCATTGACCTATTTCGCATTGACAGAATGATAGATTGGTAGGAAACAAGAAACTGAGATCTTTCCCAAACTTTTCTGATGCTGTCTCGAATACATAAAAGCTGTGCTTTTATGGCGCTAAAGAGAGCAAAAGCTTAGTCTTACAAAATGCTTGTAATTGCCTGCTTCTTTATTTTACTGCTTTTAATTAGGTCTGTTTAGTGACTGCTGCCAGCTTTTCATGCACATGCAGTGAAGGACAGTTTCTCAATGGGGTTTGGGAAACCATTTATTTGTCAAATTCTATAGTTTATTATGAAATTCAAGAGCACATGATCAAAATTTGAGAGTTGTTTTAATTTGAGGCCTTTGTATTTCAGGGACCTGAAACTGGACAATATTCTTCTGGATGCAGAAGGCCACTGTAAACTGGCTGACTTTGGGATGTGCAAAGAAGGGATTCTGAATGGAGTGACCACCACGACATTTTGTGGCACACCTGACTATATAGCTCCAGAGGTATTTTTTTGCAGTGCACTAAGAGTACAGATATTCTTATTAATCAGACTGTTACCTGTGTAATTTTAGACAGTCTTTACACATAGATGAAAACATTTAAGATGCAGACTAGACCCTGCTGCAGTTGTGCTTAGGTAGTCTTGCAGAAAATGGTTACTCTACTGCTCACAAGCACTATTCCTTGATGATAGGAGTGTTTTTTCTAGTATTTTTTTCCTAAATTTAAAGTTATTCTTCTCAATTTATTCATTTCTGAATCAGCATCATTATGATGAATTTTAGCAGTCTTTAAGGTGCTAGATGCGACTTTATTTCAATATTAGTAATCTTAGGTAGTTATAAAAATATTTTTATTTTTTAGTGAGGTTTAAAAGAACATATTAATACAGAAGAAGCCATGTGTTTGGTGTCATTTTGTCTATAGCCTTTTTGGGAATATTTTTTTTTTCCATTTTTTAAAATATCTGTGAGTGAAAGTTACTATACCTGTGCTACTTCATAGAATTGCACAGAAACATGGAAACTAGGTGTAGATGCTGCATGTTAGTTGGCAACATTTCAAGGTGTTCATTGGATAAAATAAATAGCTGAGAGTAGTGTGGCTTTTACATATTCTAGATTTTAATATTATGAGGTGCATTTCAAAGTGGCTAAAATGAACCAGTATTGAACAGTTATTTTGCCAGGCAGATTTTGTCTGTTCAGTTGAGTTAGTAACCTGTGCATCTTTCCACTTGAAGATTCAGTGTGCAAGCTGAATGGAAAAGTTGTTGTTGGTTTGTCTTTCATCAAACATAAATTTGCAGTGAGGAAAACTGTTATTTATTATTCCTTAGAGTCAATAAATCATAAATCCATACTGTTAGTATGGAGTTGTTCATGGCTGTCCAACTTCAGTAGCACAACTGATAAGGTGTGAATCATCTTGAAGCTATCATTATATAAATGTGTGTCTTACGGAGTTTGAAAAGTATTCCAGCATTAAAAGAAAAGAAATACCATTGTGGTAGTTTTGGCTATGTATGAATTTTTTTCTGATTCAGTATACTAATTGAGTCCTTTGACAAACTATTTGAAAATTATTACTGAAAATAAAGCAATCATAACAATCCAGGAACTTTCCTGAGGCTTCCAATTTGTCATCATTGTTGCAGAAGTTTAGCTCCTGCTTCTATTTCTCTTGCATTGTGGTGATATGTTTTAATTTCCTTTTCTTCAGTAGTATCCAAAGAGTTCCCAGAACACTTGAAAAGTATATATCTAATTTTCTGTATTTGGTGCCTATAAAATATAATTTTCTTTCAATGAAGAATGTGGATGGGATCCAGATGTGTGTATCCAAATGTTAAACTCAGTTCTGTTTTTGTGCTAAGGCTGAAGTTGGTTTTATATTTATATTTATATTTATATTTATATTTACATTTACATTTACATTTACATTTATATTTATATTTATATTTATATTTATATTTATATTTATATTTATATTTATATTTATATTTATATTTATATTTATATACATTTTTTATATATCACTACAGCACTAAGCCCAAGCAGTTCACCACAGGATTTCTCAATGCACTGTGCAGTGTTGTGTAAGGAGCTGGTGGATTTGTTGCCATTCCAAGTCATTTTAAGGCAGCCAGCTTCACCTTAATCAGGCACCCACTCTCCTTTCCCTGGTTCCCTGTCATGCTGAACCAGTGCAGCCAAACTGCAAGCTTCTTTCCAGTGAAAAGGAGACAAGAATTAAACTTGTTCCTGGTAGCTCTGTAACACCAAGTGCTCCTATAAAACTTCATCCAGCTAAACTCTTACTTGCTGCTAAAGGTATTTTCTACAAGGTTGAATTTGTGCCACATGAGAAGTTGTAGCCAGTTTTTCCTGAAAGCAAGTGCAATTAAAGTGAATTCTACACCATGTATTGTACAGTGGTTTAATGCAGTAAAAGGAACTTGAACAAAAATGCTTTTGGCTTCCTTCAGCCCTACCTAAAGGACAAGAATAAATCTCTCAGATGATCTCTCTGCAGCATTAGAAGCTGGTTCAGTTTGTTTTGTTCAAGATAGAGACAAGGAAATGTTTCACATTTTCCACCAGTCTGTTTTGTATATGTGATCTTTTTTCCCCTATAGTGTGACCTGCTTTAAACAGCTTGGAAGGATATGCAGCTCTTTTGCTCACAAGCATAGTCATTTACTCAAGGGACTGATAAACTCTCAGTACTTCTGAGAACAACATCTCGTTGACACTTAGCTGTGTTAGTGCAAATTGCATGGGGAAGAAACCCTGCCTGCTGTTACTGAAATCAGTGTGTGATTCAGTCCTGCTTAGGCACTGGGGCTAGAGGGGCTATATCATGTTAAAACAGCAAAAGTGCAGCTGAGACAGTTGTCTCTCTTGTCTCTTCAATCCAATCTCTTTTTCTGTACTAGATCCTCCAGGAGCTAGAATATGGCCCATCCGTGGACTGGTGGGCTCTGGGTGTTCTCATGTATGAAATGATGGCTGGACAACCCCCCTTTGAAGCTGACAATGAAGATGATCTCTTTGAATCCATCCTTCATGATGATGTATTGTATCCAGTCTGGCTCAGTAAAGAAGCTGTCAGCATTTTAAAAGCAGTGAGTCTTCCATTACTTGCCTTCCTCCTCCTCCTCTTCCTCATGGGTTTTTGGGGGTTGGTTTGTTGGGTTTTTTCCTTGATTAAAATTGAATTTGCTGAAAGTTGTTGAGAGCAGTCACCACTGGGAGTTCAAGCACAGTTCAGAGTGCCACTGTTAGGATAATGGGGCCTTGGATAAATTACACCATTTGTGGGAAAGGAACGGAATGTTTGTATTCCACGCAGTTGTACACTGTATAAATCTGTGTACTGCAGATTCATGTTTCAGGGAAAACACAACCAGCTAGAACTGTGCTATCACTTTGACACTTTATATGCCATATATAGAGTGGGAGAAGCACTACATAATTAAAGAAACAATGTTTTTATTTAACCCACTTACAAAATTTCCTGTCCCTTTGCCGTTTTTCCCCTGTCATCAAGATGGGTTGAAAGCCCTTTATTTACAGCCACATGTTCTATTTTATAGTTCACATGATAGCAGTCGTACTTTAGTGTGATTGTTTCTGTTCTCATTGGGATATTTCAGTATGAGTGGTGATTTGACAGCAACTTGTGTCACCAAATGTCACAATTTTTTAAAGCAGCCAATACATACCACTGGGCAAATTCAGTTTTTAGACTATCTTTATAAAGTCAGGTTTATAAAGTCATTAATTCCTATGAATGACACTGACATAAATTCTTTCTTCTGTGCTAGTGTCATCCTAAAATGAAGCAGAAGCAGTATGCCAATCCCCATAGTTGTCAGAAACACCAAGAAATATTTTTGGTTTAAAAAAATAACTAGGTTTTTATTTATTCCATTTTTCCAGCATCTTTGAAACTGGAAAATTTCTGCCTTTCTACATATTTTTCTTTCAATATCTGGAGTAAGGGAGACTTTCAATTAAGAAGGCAACTGATAGTGTAAAATCCTGCAGAGGTCTTCATATGGAGTTGTTTTGAAATTATATATAAAACATAAACAAATTATGATTTTAACACCAGCGGACAGCACATTATGCAGAAATTCTCATATTGACCTTTTGATGAAAATATCTTCAGGATCATTCTAGCTGAGCAAGAGAGATGCTCTAGCAATGATTCAAAGCAGAAGTCAAAGTTAACTTCTCAGAAGTGTTTGCTGAACTATCTTTTGCTACATTCAGAGGATTTTTTACTGCTGGTAGTAATTAATTAATAACTATTCTCCCTGCTCCCCCAGATAGCTTTCTGACTACTTTTTGTTAGCTCACATGATACTTTCATGCATCCATTTCTGTTTCCAGATCCTTTGATCATTTTACTTCAGCATTTAAAATATATGGACTTGAGCTGCAGAGTTCAGGCTTATATTCGGGGCTCACGGGTTATTTTGGCACATTGTGAAGGAAAGGTTGTTGACAGTTTTCATACCTACATCTGATTTTCATTGGAATCCAGAGGATTTTCTTTTATAGCTGACTTTTTTTACAGAATTTTCTGAGACTATTTTCCTGGATATACATTTTGATAGTAGGAATGGTGATTTGTATCATGCTGTACTCATAGCCTTTTAGGCATAAATTGATACAATTTAATGGAGCTGTGGCAATTTACACCATAAATAAAACACATTTCCTTAAGATTAGGAACCTGCTGCCTATGCATGTATGGTGTGAAACCTGCTTGAAAGTTGTGTTCTTCATCTGATACTTGTCTATATGAAGAACAGGAAAAACAGAGGAAAGAAAGAGGCGTCTATGTATTTTGCTGCTGAATAGTAGCAAGGGATTAACTTTGGAACACTTCGTTTCCTCACATTGTGCTTCAAGACATGAGTTTTATTCTTTTAAAACTGTGTATTTTTACAGTCCTTCAAGCACCATGTAGGGAAAGTTTAGTAAGAAGACATTCTCTTGTATTAAGTGGCGATGTTTTCCTTTTTTCTGATGAAACAGTTTTCCTGTTATTTCCATCAAAACACTGAGGATGATATTAAAGCTCAGTATTACAAGGCAGCATGTTGCATATCTCCTGAAAACCCTCACATCTTATTAGTCCTGTCTCTGTGAATTGGCAGGAATTACTATTTAAATTCTTTCCTGTGTAGTAAGGAAAACAATTCTTCATTGAAATTGGCTCTCTGCTTCTTCCCAAGCAGTGGAGAGATGTTGTCTCTACAGTGTGTGTTCCCTGTGTACAGACTCTACAGTCTCTGGCAACAGAAGCAGAACTGTGTTTTTAAGCTGTGTGATTTATTTCAAGAAGCAAAATTTGGGGAGCTTAATGATCTTTGATTGAGGCGCTAAGCAGCATTTTGTCCTGTTATCACTTAAGTCAGTAGGAATGCTGATCCTAAAAGGCTTCTTCTTTCAGAAAAAGAGGTTCCCACCTTAGCCATGAAAAGGTTTATGGCTATGGCTGTCACTCCATTTCTTCACCAGAGTGATCTGTCCTGACAGTTGCATCGGTGTTGATGGTGGTGATAAACAGGGAATAAATGTCAGCTTTTACTTCACAAATAAAAAGAGATTAAATTAATGCAATTAAATGTCTGCTTTAGGAGTTTGATATTTTTTCTTCATATATGCATATGATATTTTTGTTTATGTATTCATTCTTAAAATATATTCTTTTTTTAGTTTCATGAGGTTTGTGAAGTACAGCAGTAAACTGTACTGGACTGCCTAGTCATATTGTCAGGTCCTGGGCTTCTTAAAAAGTTACATGTCCAGATGCTTTCCCTGTCTCCAGTTTAAAACAAAGATAAAGCATGGTAGATACTAGGATCATATTTTACTACTTTTGATATCTGGTTTATATGGTATAAAAATGCTGTAGTTTCCATGTTCTGTTTCTGTAATGCATGTGGCTGCTGGTTCCTGGCCTGCTTGCTCCAGTCCTAGAGATGAAATAAAGCAGAGGAACGTAGGAATGCATTTTGTGGTTTTTCAAGAGACCTCACCAAAGCACAGTAATCCTTTCAAAACCTTTGTTTTTCTTGCTCATAGGGAATATTGCCTGTAGTTTAGATATGACTTGCCCACTTGCAAAAGAACTTGCAGAGCAGTTGAGCTCAAGACCAAAGAGAAGGATCATCTTCAGAACAGCACGTGTATGACAGAATTGGTTTGCTGATCTATGTTATACCTTTAAAATTACAGCAAGGATATTCTGTGGATGGTTTATCTAGATATCTAAAACCATTCTAAGGGCTTAAGTAGCTACTTAACTAATACCTGGAGTACTAAAGCAAGGGCATGCATTACAGTATTTTTTTTTCTACTTTTTTTTTCTACAGGAGTATTGTTTAATGTGATACATAGGTTGAAAAGGCACTGAACAATTATTACATTTGTTTACTTTGTACACTTTTTCTAAATTTAAAAATGTTATATAATGGCTGAATATGAAGTTATAGCAAAGCTATTGAGCTAATTCTATAATGTGCTTGTGTTTATAAGAATAGCATTTGTTGCTACTTGAATTATAAGGATTCTGTGTCCACACAAACTAGAGCAATTGCTAATAAAAGAAGGAAAAAATAACAGAGAAAAATCAGGTAAAGTAATATGAGCTGCCATCAGTTGATATCAATGTCTTACACCATTTGTATAGCTTTTTCCTGACAGGAATAGTGATAGTTTAAACATAAGAAGTTTATAAATTACTACACCAGAGGAAACCAGTTAGTTCCAGTCATTGGCACTAATCATGTACTAAAAATGAAAGAAAATGTGTGAGTTATGTCATGGGGGATATGACATAACTTCCCATTCTCAAGGGAAGCTTTCTGCAGGTACTGATCACTCTGTCTCTGGAGGGTTTAAGATCATCTTTCTTTCCTTTAGTATTTTTGGCTAAAGCTCAAAGTATACATGCTGAAAGAGAATCTAGTCCTTTACCACTCTCAGTAAGATGAAATTAAGTGGTCTTAACAGTAAACTGAAAGAGTTTTCTGCAGTAAATTTACAGTTTGGAGTCTTTGAATCTTATGGTGTGGCTGAAACCTCTGAAATATGGAGGGCCAGAAGCAATAACCTTCTGAAAGGGGACTGTCTCTTAAAAACTTGGCTTTAAGAATTACAGTGTGTAATTGACTGGCAAATGATTTCCAGGTATCATCATTCATGTTTTAACTTTCCTCTCCCTCTCCACCCTGTAGTTCATGACAAAAAATCCCAACAAGCGACTTGGCTGTGTGGCGTCACAAAACGGGGAAGATGCGATTAAGCAGCATCCATTTTTCAAGGAAATTGACTGGGTTCTTCTAGAACAAAGGAAAATCAAACCACCCTTCAAACCTCGGATTGTAAGTAATAGTTTGTATAACATTCAGAGAAAATTTGGTTTGGCAAGTCTACTTGTTGGCTTTTCTGAGAAATGAGATTTCCTGATGCAGTATTTTGAGGGCTGAATTAGTAACATAAAAAGAGCACTAAGAAGATTTCTTTGTCATTCTTTCTGTTAAGGTAAGTGTCAGGAATAAATGTAATATTCACAGAAAAATGTTCATGTTCAGCTACATAAACCATGACAAAAGGCACTGTTTTAATTATAGTCTGTGTTCTCAAAGATGCCATAGCCAGAAAAGATTATTCCAGTTGATACATACTGTCTATACTTCCTGTGTGAACTCTTCACAGTTCTGTATTGCTGATAGCCACTGGATTTTGTAGTAAAACACAGACAAGAATTTGTAAGGAATAATATTTTAAGTGAAGAAACTTGAAAAACAGTTTCTTGGGGGAAAGAAACACACATTATGATTATATAAATTTATGTACTAATATTTTCCTGAATAATAACCAAGTATTTCTATTTTAAAGTAGCAAAAAATCTCTTAAGAACCCATTTTCAGAAAATATGAAAGCCATGCAAAAATATTTTATTCAAGTTTTTCTCTGGATGAAAATACAATTAACCAAATGTCACAGAATGCATGTGGTTACATTTGTGCTTATACACTGCAAGAGGCTAATTTTGTGATAAATCCTCCAAGACTGATTTGCATTTTTTGATTTCACACATTCCTAATTACAATGTTTTATTTGTCTGTGAATATGGTCAAGTTACTTGTTTGATTCTTTCTTTAGATAATTTACAAAGATATTAAAAAACTCAAACAGCAATACAAATGAGCAAAATAAAAACCTTAGGTCTCAACTCTGAATCCTGAATTAAATTGGAAGGTGAAGAAATACCCATTGCTTTTGAAGAATTGCTGTATGCCACATGTAATGCCTTTACTTTGAGTTCAGTGAGATGCATTTCCCCAAGTTCCTTATGTAGATGGTGAAAGCAGGGCTGACCATCCAGAGCAGGAGCCTGAGGCAGCTCCTCTGAGTCCACTCGTGGGGAAATCTCTCTCTCTCTCTCTGTAGCTGTGCAGAAGAAGCCCAAAGGGATTGATAACTGTGGGTGAAAGCCCTTATGAATGCCTTTCTAGGAGTAAGGTACAATGTTGTCACATGAGGAAGGTTTTCTTAATGTATTGGGGAATGGAAAGCTCATAATGCCCCTGGGGTGCAGCCAGTCCCCAGCCCCGCTGCCCAGCCCTGCTCTGGAGGTGTGGCAAGGTTGCAAGTGATGTACAAGCCTCTGTGGTGCTGCACCAAGTGTAAACCCCAACTTCACTCCCTTAGTACCTTTCTGAAGCCTATTTAGTACTGTGGCTGTTTTCCAGTCAGGTTACAGCTCTCAGGTAGCTGCACTTGGACAAGGTCCGTGTTCGGCTGTGTTGCATTTGTTTAGATCTTTTCTTGTTTTCACAAAAAATTTGGTCTTTCATCTCACCGTAATTTTTGTTGCTTTACTCAATATTCATCAGAATTTTGGTTTTAAGACATGATGAACTGTTGCAGAATTATTTTCACTTTATGCCTGCATTTAATTTCCAGTTTCCTTTCATCTAGTCTGTTTATTGGCTGTTTTCCTTTCATGATCAAGATGCACGGTCCCTTTGACAATAGGTATTTTTATGAGGCTTTTATTATTTTTGTAAGTACTCCCACTGTGGCAGTCCTTAAAAGTCAGGAGGCATTTCATATATCAGGTGTTTTTATTCATTGCTGATATAAATGTCTTCTGCATTCTCAGTGGGATTTCTTTCTCTTTCTGGTAATTATTTCACTGTTATTATATTGTAAAGCCAATCCTATTTCATTAATTTCTGTTGTTTTGTTCCTTTTCCTCTTTTCTGCTTTCTTCAATGGTATTTTAATTGAATCATTCAGTTTCAGTAGTAATTGCAGATTATTTCAGAGTAGTCTGGAATTTGTATACTTTTAGGACAGCTCTTTGCTCCTTAATAATTGTTATGGTGAATTTATACATCCTTATTTACACTACTGGTCATTTTTCTTCAGGCTACTTCTATAATGTTGTATTTTCATACTAATTATTTCTATATTGTATCTACCATCTTTCTTTATACTACAAGTTTTGATTCCTGCAGTCTAGTAGTTCTGTATGCTTGGATTTTTTTCTGAACTCTTTTTTTTTTTTTTAATACAGTGGTGAATTGAGATAATATATGCTCTTTGTTACAGGCATCTCTTATTATTTTCATGTTCTCAGTATGTTCTCTCTAATGTATCTTGCCCAGTGACTAGGTCCTATCAACTTTTACTGATAACTTTGAACATACCTTATATATTTATGATCCATGTTTATGATCCATCAGCTATTTTGTGCCAAGTCTATAAATTTTACAGTTGTTTGGATTTTATTGTTGTATAGCAATCTTTGAGCAAGGTCATACTTGAAATTTTAATTTGTCCTCTTAAAACTGAGTGATATATTACTTGGAAAGTAAAATGTGATATAGATCTAGGCTGGAGAAAAAGATCACAAATATGAAATATAATTATTAATTATTCAACTTCAGAAATGGCAAAGAAATACAGGGCAATATATTTCAAGTGTTATAAGGGTAGTTTTGTATACTTGCCAAGCTGGACCAGATTGCACTCACTTTGAAAAATTGTGAGAAGAGGGAAGAAGGTGAACACTAATGAAATATGATCTACTTTAAAATCTTCATAGAGAGTTCTTCTCTAAATTCAGTTGTGGGTGTAGCATTGAGATTCATTGATTCAGATTAACAAACATAACTGTTCTACAGCAGTGGAATAACTATGGAAAAAACAACTAATGCCTGTGTTTGGTATGTTTTATGATTTTTAAAATATTTTAGTATTAATAAAAGGCTGTTGATTATTTAAAAGTGACTTTAACGTTAAGAGAGTAGTAAAAAAATATTTTAATCTTGTGTTAGGAGGGCCTAGTTCTGTGAAAAGATCTATGAAAAGGGAGGCCAGATTATTAGTCAGAAAATAGACATTCTTGCATGTGATATGTGAGTGTACATATGTGTTGGGGAAAAAGTATACAATGCATATATAGTCATCTGTGCATTTAAATTGAGTTTTGCATGCACATACAAGAATGCTTATATTTACACAGGTACTCTTCTATTTTCTGACCAACCAGTAAGATGACTAAGGGGGGAATATTTATTATTATGTCATAAACACTTTGAAAATAAAACAATACATAAGATGCGTTCAAATGAACTCCAAGCAATGTGAAGTGATGACACTAAATCAGTAAAGTCATTAGGGAAAATGGTCAAACACTGAGGTCCCATCAGACAATGGAATAATCTGCCAAGGGAGGTCATGGAGGTGTTATTGTGGAAAAAGCCTTGCTTCTGTTCTGCTTCACTTTCCTCAAAACACACGAGTTCCTTGATTAGCACAGCTGGCTTTTCTGTTACCAACCATCCTTTCTCTGCCATAATGAATTTTCTGAGGAGCTATATTACATGGTACTGTCAGGCTGTGCTTCTCCATGGTTCAGGTATGTCACTTCAGCACTGCCAGCCTTAAGTCTGAATTCTTCAACTGAGCTTGGAAAAAAAAAAAAAACCTGTGGGGCTATTTATTAGCCAAACTTTTAAAAGTGTTTGTTGTTCATTTGTTTGGTTTTTCTCAATCTCATTCACACAGTGGATGTATGTAATTATGTTCCTTATTATACCAGAAAATACCATTAATCTCTTTCTAGCTTGTACATTATTTGGTTATTCTAATGATGCTTTGGAAGCTGAAATTTCTTCCTGTGTCCAGCATTAGAGTGAAAATTACCAAAAGGATTTTGAAAATCTGACTGTGTTTTTTTGAAAGCTTGTAAGAGTGCCCTGACCAGGGCATACAAACAGCTGAAGACTCAGGTATTCAGGGCTCACACAAATAGCTGAGGTTTAGATTGCTAAACAGTGACAGAAGTGCCACCCTAGGCTGTCCTAGGTAGAGACAGTGGAAGGAGATTTTGTGGCTTTGAAACCTTCTGTGAAGGGTCTTTGCTTGTGTAGTTAATGACTTGGAATAGAGAATATAGAGGGGTTGAAATGCACTGGGGCTCAGTCCTGTGATGCATGTTATCTGACAACTCTTCCCCTCATAAATCTAGGATCATGAGGCTTTTCAGTGGTAAAATTAATTTTACATATGTTTGTGTATATGAATAAATAAATAAATATACTCTAGTTTACTATACTGAGAGTTTGTTCCATGTTGAGCTATTCTAAATGTTAAGCTATTCTAAATGTTAAGCTAGTGTAGAAGAAAATTCATAGCTCTAGAGCATGTACATTAGAAATCAAGCAAACTTTTGAGCAGCTAGACAGCAGATACTGGTTACATATGAGCTCCAGTGACCTTGCAGTGTCTTTTGAAGATCATTTTTACTGTTCTTAAAACCTAATTCTTAGAGTTTCACAGCCAGTCATGAACATTTCTGGATAATAGTATTCATCCCTGAATGCAGTTGTGAATATGTAATTGCATATGTAATAAGTACCATTTTAGTGCAGACAAATACCTTTTTTCCAGAGCAACTGTTGTGAGACAGAGGCATTTTATTCCTCTGTTGTGATTTTTTTTTTTTGCATGTATTCTCCCTAGAATTTTATTCTTTTTGGAATATGAAATTTCCATGATCAGTAGCCATAAGGCCAGGCTATGGTTTGCAACATAATATATTGCTCAAGAACCACAAAGACCTTGAAAGCATTCAGTGATTCTCTGCTCCCCATCTTTCTTTGTTTCCATGGCTATATTCCTGGCTTGGTTGAGTTGCCTATTTCCACTTTCAAACAGCATTTGCCATCTTAAAAATTAAAACAATGGTGCAGTAGATCAATTTCTTACCTAAGTTATTGATGTGGTGATAAGTGTGGTAGATCCTGCTTGGTGGCATGATGGGATGATTCTGTCTATCCATACCAAATACAAACTATGCATTAAA